CAGTATTTCACATGTACCGAGTTCTTTCTTTCAGCCTTTAAACTTCAGCATTATCATATTAATATTATAATTATTAGAATATTTTCTAATTAGGCTAACTTAAAAAGATATTTTTAAAGATATTTTTGGCGACATTTCATTCAAATGCAGCCAAATAAGCGATAAAATACAAAACATGGCAAACCTTAAGAATTATTCACAATGAGATATTAACTTTCCAAAATTTGTTTTGGCCTTACGACCTCTGAGAATCAATACATTTCTGAAAGCTCTTATGAATGGTACAATTATGTTTAGATTTGAACCCAAATTACAATAACAAAACTGCATAGAATATTTGGCTTGTTCACACATCGCCTTGTAGACATAACATAAGCGGAGGGATACACCGGAAATTTTCTAAATTTCTTCCGGTTTAAGGACGCTTGTTATTGTTTACATTAGACCACCCATCCATATGGCACTGAAAACTACATTAAACATAGTTCTAAGGAAAAGCATCACAAAAATTTAAAAAAATAATTTTATTGAATGAAAAGTTCATTTATTAAATAAAATCGTAGTACATTCCTATACAATTGAAAAGAGGAGAAGAGGGAAGGGAAAAGGGCCAAACACATTAAACTAGTTTCCCCCCAGATGGCGTATTCGAGCATTGCGATCGCCACGCCAATATCGATATCTCCCCGATTTTGGCGGTAAAACCGAGTTGCAAGCTTCGTTTGGTGGTAAAGGAAAACAAATCTCGATATCCAACAAACCTGCACAGCTTCTCGCTAGAAAGTTTGCAACTGTTTACTACAAAGTTTATTGTGAGAGGCAATATTTTCGGAAATAATGTTGTTAGTATAAATAAATAATAAAATTTCTAATCTCAAGTCTGCTGCATTTCGTAAGATTTTAGTGATATTAAGTTATTTTGATGAGTTTGAAGAGAAAATTTGTTTTAGTCATTTATTGATATGTTAAAAAAGGCGATATGCCTACTGTATTTAGAAAGGACTTTCATTAAAACTATTGTTATTCTATTTAAAACTATTTGTTTTTGTTGCAAGCATACGCTAGTGTTAGTATTTAAAGTAGTGAGATGTATATTTTGTAGATAATCATTTAGATTTAGCATATCGTTGACAAGGTAATAAGTGGTTTATATAGATTTTTATTAGTTTTTTTGGTTAAAACTAATTTAAGTTTAAGTTTTTCTTACATTTTTAACCACATGTTTACTATCTTTCTACCAATTTATGTTCATTATTATATAACTGCAAATAATGTGTGTGATTCATATTATTAAGTCATTTGAAAACTGTTAATGAGTTTTGAGCGTTGTCCTTTACATCTAATAGGTAAGACATTTTTGATGTAATTGATATCTCTTAATTTTTACTTGAAGAAATTGACTAAGACTTGTCTATTAAAATGTTGTTGTGCTGAGAAACAACAAGAATAGATGTCATGCATATAAAACGCATGGGCAGGGAATAAATAACATTGCCTTATACAGTTTCTAAAATATGTTCTACGGGGTAAAGTGTGCTTTTCATTTTTTTTTATTTTTACAAGTAGTAATTGTCATGCAAACACCAATATTTTGAATAGTTTATCACCAGAAAGGCAGTTATCAGAGTCAGTAGTTATCAGATTAAAAAAACCAAAATCTATTTTTCTACGTTCCAATGAAAGTCTTAGGTACTCGTGAAAATTTCAGGTACTTTGGCATTGAAAGATGTTTTAATAACTGTTTAATTTGACAAAATAATTCATACCTTTTGGTTTGTTATACCTTTATGTTTATTTAATTTCATTATTTTAATTAACTTCCATGGTTTTGAAAATTATTTATTTATTTGAAGTTATTATGGTTAGCATCAATGTGTTTTTTTTGTTTTTTTTTTGCATTGTTTAAAAATGGTTTTGAGTTTTTCAGGATGATCAAAATGTGCATATTTTGAAAATTATTTATTTTATATTTGTGAAATTTGTTAGTTTTTTTTTTTAAAAACATTCTGGCATGTTATAGGGGCCTAATAGTGCTTAAAAAGTACTTAAAAGTTTCTTGAAAAATCT